TGGAAAGATGAGTTTCCTCTCCCGAGGCAAGATTTGCTTTCAGTTGTTGATGTTAATCACAATAAACAAGTGTCACTGCATCTAGATTTTTTGCAGTTTTGCAGAGTGAAATATTTTAGAGCATTAGGAGAAAAAAATCTAAAACGTTGTAACTATCTACCTAGAAACTTGTCTTTGGTAAAGTAGATGTTTTCACTTGATAGTACCTGCTGTAATTTAGGAATGAGGGAAGATTATTTTTTAAAAAAATATCTTCTTCATATGGCTTGATGGAGATGGATCACTCTGTAAGCAGTTCTCTGTCCTAGCTGGTAGCATCTGGTGCCTGACTTTGTCTTCCCTTTTCCAGATCCTGGAGTCTCTGTGGATAGTGATGAGTCGCAATGTGAGCCTCTTGTTTACTACAGTTACAACATTAGTGACAATCCTCTTCCATAGTGGGACAGCTCTTCTCAATTTTGTGCTTTCAGTGGTAAGTAGTAACGTCATCAGTTTACATGGTCTGTTTTACTGAAGGAACCTAGTTGTACACATTGTAACAATCGAAAATCAAACCTAAAGCATTGAAAATGTCTTCTGACCTTATCTAATACCAGAATTATTTAAGATTTTGCAACTTTCAGATCTGTTGCTTGGGGCCATTCTAGGCAAAGGGCAAGATTTGGGTAACTTCCACATTTAAAGAGCTGGCAGTCTTCCTGTCTTTATATTCAAGGAAAACTCTTGTTTCTGTCCTTGAAGATACTGAGCTGTAACTTGTGATATCCTACGTAACTACTGAAATCTTATGGCATATCCTCTTAAGGATATCTTTAAACAAGCCAGTGCTCTTGAAAGGGGAAAAAATGTTACAGGGAAATGTCAGCAAAAGTAGTTATTTCACAAGGATTACCTTATATTCCCTTTTTTAAATTAAGCATCAGCAAATCTGTGTGAGTGGGTGGTTGTATTGTTTTTATTTAACCTCTGTGAGGTCTTAATTGCAGAATGCTTCCTACACAAAGTTAATTCTTATTATGTTATTGCCCACAGTGAGTAATAGTCTCTGAAACTTTTTATTAAAGCTGTTTTTGTTAAGAATGTGCTACTTTTTAGTGTATTATGTGAGCTGTATGTTTTTAATTTCTTTTGTTTCTAAATGCCACAGCTGTGTGGAGTAATTTATAATAGTAGAGGTAACTTCTTTCTTCTCATTTACTGTGACGGCTGTTACTTAAAAATCTCCTAAAACACTGGCCTGGGACTTCTGATACTGATGTTGGAAGCTTGACTGAAATCCATGTCCTGGTTTTTAGTTCAGGATTCAAAAACGCTTGTTAGAAAACAAAATGTTTTGCCATTTTAACTTCATTGCCTTCATTGATGTTTGCACAGGAGGGAGGTCTTTGTAGCCAAAGCTGCAAAACTGAAATAGGCAGCTGTGTGGATTCTCTTCAATATTTAGGAAAGAACAGATCACAGTAAGACTTAATGGAGTGGCTATATTGAACTGAAGAATATTGCTGCCACTGAATTGTTGTTCTATAGTTATCTTTCAGTTAGTAAAGAAAAAATTGCATGGCAATACTTCATTTCTTCCTTAGTCCACAACTTCACCTGTGGTAACACATTGAAAGAAGCGTTTGAGATGTTAGTGTACTTAAAAGTGACAAGTTTGGATAATGATTGCAGGTTATTTCAATGCACTTGTGGCTGGGAGACAAAATTTGGCTCTAGATGCCTAATGTCTTATACCGAGTTCATCACGTGCTGTTGCTGTGATGCATGATCCTGCCGTTTTGTCTGTCAGCAGGGTCCTGCCGCTTGCTGGGGCACTGTGCAGTCAGCTGCTTTAGCAGACCCAGCTGGGATAATGCTGTGTTGGAATTCTTGTAAAGATGAGATGCCCTGAAGGCTGCTCCGTTTCCTTCACCTCTGTTGTACATCGAACATGTTACTTAAAACAGTCATATAAAGCTTTCCCTGCCAAAACACACCAGCCTTGCACTCTTGGTTTCTTGGATTTTGATGATGAGCTTCAATTTTGCACTCCTAGTGATCACATATCTAGAAAGACTTGTTTTCATATGTGCATAGGTTCTTTCTGTAGATTCTTGCCAATGGTAGCCTTTGAAATGTGAACGGCAGAACTGATAAATTAGAAATATTTCAACTTTTAAGAAATAAGACAAAAAATCGCTGAAGAACTTTGTCCTGTTAACTGTACTTCAAATATGCCAGGGTAAAGGGATATGCTTGCTTCCATTTTAATGCACAGAAAATGTCAGGTGTAAGTGGTGGTGCTCTTTTAACTCCATGAACTGCCTCTTTTGAAGGCATTTAAAATTTGCATGCCTACCTGAAGAGTAGTTATTAATGCTGTCAAATACTATGGGAGAGTGCTATAACTTAATCTTGTTTGCACTGTACATTTCATACACTGTCTTGTCTGTTCAGAGACATGGTATCTTACCTTTATGAAAGTCTTTCACAAAGGTTCTTGCTACAAGAACTAAACAGATTTTCTTAAAACACAAAAATGTAAATTAATTGAACTTGTTTTAATAGTATTTAGTGTGAGTTTGTTAACAGCTTATGACTGAAAGAAGAAAGGACTTAAATTTAGGATATTCAGAAAATAGCTTGCACTAAACGATATAGTCCATTATTTGGGGCAATAAGTGAATGAAAATGCTAGTTGTTGTGAGAATTTAGTTGAGCCTAAAGTACTTTTTTGGGTAACTTAACTGAACTGTCATGGAGTCCACAGTGAAAGAATATAACTGCTGCTTAATTTTTCCTTGCACTTTTTTTTTCCTCT